GGGGGGCACGAAGGGGGGGGAATAGCAAAGGGTAGGGTGAGAGAACCAGCTGGCGCAGCGGATTTTTCCCAGCGCCTCCCGGCGCCGGGAGGCGCCCCTGCATGGAGGAGCGGGCCCCGCGGCGGGGCCGAAACCAGCTGCATGCAGCATATTTCGTTACCCCCCCCTTTCCTTATCTCCCCCCCCCCTTTCCTTATCTCCCCTTGCGTTCGGCCCGAGTGGCTGGCGGGATCCAGGCTCGGGCCACGGCGGCCTCGGCGTCTTCTGGGAGAGAGCACGAGTATTGAATTGGGCCTGTCCTCCTACAGGCGGATTTTCGGTGATGAGTTAATTATCCCGGCAAAGCAACCTAACAGCGATGTGTAGAAGCATATCTGAAAGCATTCCCCTTAGGATTCAGATGAAAATCCAGTTGTAGAATTCTGCTGTTCTCGCAGTCGTAGTCGCATTCGCGATGACAGTCGCAGCGGCAACGGCAGTCGCAGTCACAGCCTCAGCCTCAGCCTGCCTCAGCCTCAGCCTCAGCCTCCTGCCTCAGCCTCAGCCTCAGCCTCAGCTTCCTGCTTCAGCCTCAGCCTCAGTCTGCCTTCAGCCTCGGCCTCAGCCTCAGCCTGCCTCAGCTCAGCCTCAGCCTCAGCCTGCCTCAGCATCAGCCTGCCTCAGCCTCAGCCTCAGCCTGCCTCAGCCTCAGCCTCAGCCTTCAGCCTTCAGCCTCAGCCTCAGTCTGCCTTCAGCCTCGGCCTCAGCCTCAGCCTGCCTCAGCCTCAGCCTGCATCAGCCTCAGCCTCAGCCTCAGCCTGCCTCAGCATCAGCCTGCTTCAGCCTCAGCCTCAGCCTGCCTCAGCCTCAGCCTCAGTCTGCTTCAGCCTCAGCCTCAGTCTGCCTTCAGCCTCGGCCTCAGCCTCAGCCTGCCTCAGCCTCAGCCTGCCTCGGCCGCAGCATCAGCCTGCCTCAGCATTCAAAATGTGGCCCAGGAATGAAGTTCTGGGAACTAGAAGAACACGAAGTGGCCTACAGTTGGCTCCGGGCATTCAAAATCATGCCCAGGAATGGAGTTCTGGGAACTTGAAGAGCACGAAGTGGCCTACAGTTGGCTCCGGGCATCCAAAATGTGGCCCGGGAATGGAGCTCTGGGAAATCGAAGAGCACGAAGTGGCCTACAGTTGGCTCCGGGCATCCAAAATGTGGCCCGGGAATGGAGTTCTGGGAAGTCGAAGAGCACGAAGTGGCCTACAGTTGGCTCCGGGCATCCAAAATGTGGCCCGGGAATGGAGTTCTGGGAGCACCAAGAGCGATTTTGCGAGGATGTCCCAAGCGATTTCGGCTTCGGCGGCAGCCTGTCCGGGTCCCGCCCAGACCCCCCTGAGGAGTCATGATGCTCTTTTTTGAGACCACTAGAAACCTATCAGCAAGAGCTGTTAGGTAAAAATAGCCGAAACAGTCCGAGGTGGTCAAAAAGAGTCGAAAATCGTTCCCAGACTATGTGTCGGCTAACATGCCCGACTTGAGGCTGGCGGGATCCAGGCGCGGACCATGGCGGCTTCGGCGTCTCCTGGGGGAGGGCACGAGGAGCGTGTGGGAATGAGGGGAGGAGAACAGCGCATGAGAAACCTCGGGCTCCACCATATACCCCTCAGCCCCACGATCAGGGCGCGGTATCCTCAGATCTCGAGGGCGAGGGCGGCGATGGGAGGAGGGAGGAGTCGTCTACCCATCCCCTTACCTTTCGTCCCCTTCCCCTCCCCTGGCGACGGCCAGTACCCATGGCGCCAGCCTTGAGTAACAGTACTGCTCCAGCGACAACGATGATGATGAAGACGAGGACGAGAGCACCTGGTGGGAGGAGGATGACGAGGGCGTTCTCATCGTGGTTCCGATGTTGGGGGGGCTGGGCGGTTGCGAGCGAGCTTACCACGCGAGCCCCTGAGCGATGCGGTTCGGGTCGACGCACATGTCTTCGCACATATTGGAAACGCTCTGGAGTTCTGCGGGTTCGCCAGACTCCTGCGGCTTCGCCAGCTTGCCGGCCTCGACCCGGGAGATCATCTCCTTGAGCCCCTCCACCATGGTCATGTCGAAGCTGTGGTAGTCGCCCGACGTCTCCTTTTTCGCGGATTGCGCGACGAGCTTGGAGTGGCGCTCGATGTTCAGGTTCTCCTTCTTGTTGCGGCAGTGCGCCCAACGGGCGCTGAAGGGGTGGATCGCGAATGCGCCGCTGCAGATCATGCGCTGCCCACCCGAGTTGACGCGGCGCAGAGAGTCGCCGAAGAGGTGCTCGAAGTTCACGTTGAACTCCTCGTGCGGGATCTTGAGAGGCAAGGCGCTTGTCAGGCGCTGGCGGTTGATGATCAGGTAGCGCTGGCTTAGCATCCCCGGCCTCTTCGTCTTGCAGGTGTCCGAACCAGCCTCGTCGAAGGCGCTGCACATTGTCGGTGGGTTCAGCGCTATCGCCGTTGGCTGGGCCGCAAAAACCTCGCGCGCCATCTCGATCATGCCCTTGTCCTTTCTGTAGACGACAATGTCCGGGTCGAGGAAAACGCACAGATCCACGGCCGCTTCCGCGGTCAAGCATGCCTCCAAGAAGTTGAACATACCGTGCGTGTTCGAGGACATGTGCTGCCCGCTGATGTCCGACATGTCGTGCGCGTCCTCCAGGGTCTTGCACGAATCGGTCTCGTTGCCTGTCTCAAAGAACTTCTGGAGGTACTTCGGAGAGTCGTATACGCTGTAATCTACTCTGCGCACGGTCGAGATCTTGTTCTTGCTCATGCTCTGCAGGATAGTCTCCTGACGGTTCACGGGCTCCATCCAGGGCGGGCGGTTGTCCACGATGACGTGCTGGATGGTGTCGGGGTACTTGGATACCATGCGCACCTGGTGGCATGAGGGACACGGGTCCTGGTGGAAGCAGGTCCTTGACCAGGGGTATTTCCTCGGGACCCTCGGGGCCAATTGATTTGTGGTTCTAGCAACGATCACAATGCGGAACGGCTTTTCACACAGATGTGGAGGTGCGGCCGAGTGTCATGACTGTGAGTGCGACTTGCTCTTGCAAGGACTTCGACGAAACCGGCTTCGTATTCTTGAGCGTCTTTTTACCGCCCCCTGGCGGGGCCTGGAGAGAGCCACTGGGAGTCCGAAAACGGAGAGCGTCTTTCCCGGGCGCCGTGCATGGCAAAACCCACCACCACCCTCCCAAAGAGGGCTCCAAGAGAGCCCCCAGAGGCTCAAGAGCGGGCCCAACAGCGGAGGTCAGTTTGCGGCATGCCCCAAGATGGCCTCAAGACAACCCGAATAGGCCCCAAGATGACGGCCCAAGACAGCCCTCAAGGAAATCCCGTTAGGGCCCAAGATGCTCCTGAAACGCCCCCGAGGGACCCGAGGAGGATCTTGGTCGCCTCCATAAACCCAAGACGGCCATAACCAGTGACAACGCACATACGTTGTTTTATGATGTCGGCTGCGGGCTTCACTGGGCTTCTCGGCCCCCATGCTGGCCGCAAGAGGGCCACAAAAGAGCCCTGGGAGGGCCCCAAGACGTCCCAAAAAGGGCCCCAAGAAGGGCCCTAAGAGGGCTGCAGGAGAGCCAAAACAAGGCTAAGGAATCGGCCCGACGGCGGAGGCCAGTTGGAGGCAGGCCCCAAGATGGCCCCAGGAATAGCCCCAGAGACCCCATGACCCCAAGGCGGACCAAGGTGGCAGGCACATCCAAGAAGGCCCCTGGTTCCCCCCAGAGTCATTCAAAAGTTGTTCCAAATTGCCCAGATCACCAGCTAGCGCAGCAGGCCCTGTAGCTGTGGGGCTCTGCGCACAACGACCATTAGACGTGCCTTGACCGTCTGGCGGGAGATGGCGGGGGCGGGGAAGGACGGGAACGCAGAGCTTGAAAGGCAAAGTGGTACCTTTTCGATGATTGTGGTGTTCTCGACTCTGCGGGCTCAAACCCGTGCTGATACCAAGAGAGCCCCAAACGAGCCCTAAGAGGGCTCCAATATTCACCAGGAGGGCCTCGAGAGGGCCAAAGGGTCCCACGAGGGCCCAAGAGCGGCCCCAGAGTGGAGGCCAGTGGGAGGCAGGCCCCAGGATGGCCCCAAGACAACATCAAGAGGCCCCCTGCTGACCCCAAGGTGGCCCAAGATAGCCCCCAAGAATCCCCCGACGGGCTCCAAGAAGTCCCGGAGAAGCCCCCAGACACCGCAGGCAGATTCTTCCAGGAGCCCGCCGATACCTGCCGATAGCGTGCGACACGGCGCAACAGCACGTAGTCTGTGTGGGTTACGTGACCACTGCCTTCTCGTGCTTTCGGGCTTCGATGGTGAGCGTTTTCTTGTTCGGCGTTTGGACATTGGGCGGAAGGGGGGGGAGGGGGGGGGGTATCTGGCTCCGCCTGCTTTAATGCGACTGTTTGCAACAGTGCGTCCTTTGGGTGAGACCCCACTTGCTCGAAGCAGGCGCCTGAAACAGCCAAGATGTACTCCAGGGGGGGGCGGGGACAGGGGGGGATGCGAGGGCCCGCGCCGATCGGCAACACAATGAATAAGAAAACGATCACATGGTGAAACTTGGGTGGTGGCGTGTTCGGTGTAGCTATGCTTTCAATATACCCATCGACTGCATCTCCCCCATGCGAGCTCCATAAGACTGCTTTGGGAAACTGCCGCCACCCAACAAATTTCCAATCGTCACGAGCCTACAAAAAGATGGCAATGGAGGTACGGTGTGGGCCGGCAGGAGGCGCGAAGCGGCATAATCAAATTCGGCGGGCCCCCTGCGGGCACTGGCCGTGTTGTAAGCTCGTCGGGTAGATGATGGGAGGGAGGAGGATGGAGCAGAGTGAGATGGCGTACGCAAGGCATGCCAAGAAGGGGCTTCGCGGAATCCGGCGGCCGATGATGTTTCGAAGATGTTTCGGTAAAAGGCCAATTTGTTTTTTCCATTCTCCTGGGGACAGGTAGAATTATGTCGGGCGTGTCCCCCTACAGGGGGATTTCCGACGAAAAATAAAACATACCCAAAAAGGTCAAAAAAATACCCCAAACACAGTCCCCAGACTAGTTTTGGAGTATCTTTGAATACAGTATTCCCCCTGTAGAGGGACCAGCCCGACTGAAAGGTAGAAGCGCGAGTGAAACTGCGCACATTCCGCCGGCGATCTCCGGAATTCTCTCGGGGGGCACGTCGTAATACAAAAGAAGGGCGCCCCCAGAGCTGCGAGGCCCACGCGCGCGGCAGCTCCCGGGGCACGCAGAAGCACGGGCGAGAGGTGCCCTCGAGGCTGCGAGCGCACTGTTTCGGCGCACCCCCCGTGCATCTCCTGCTCCATACCTTACTGGGGCAAAAAAAAGGATCGACGCTTCGAAGGCCATGAAAAGGGCTCGAATTGAAACACACACACACACACACATACACACATACACACATACACACATACACATACACACGCGCACACACGAACGCACGCACGCACGCACGCACGCCCTCCCCCCCCCCCCCCCCCCCCCCCCCCACACACACACACACACACACACACACACACACACACACACACACACACACACACACACACACACACACACACACACACACACACACACACACACACACACACACACACACACACACACACGCACGCACGCACGCACGCACGCACGCACGCACGCACGCACGCACGCACGCACGCACGCACGCACGCACGCACGCACGCACGCACGCACGCACGCACGCACGCACGCACGCACGCACGCACGCACGCACGCACGCACGCACGCACGCACGCACGCACGCACGCACGCACGCACGCACGCACGCACGCACGCACACGCACACACGTTTCCTGTCCCGTATTCTTTTGAGACACATGAAACCACAGGTGAGATGCGCCCTCAAGGCTTCGACAGCATTGCTCAGGCGCCTGCTCCATACTTTACTGGGACACGAACAAATGAGAGTGATCTGTTTTCCGAAGGCCAGGGCTCAATTTTACACACCCCTCATGCATTTCCTGCCCCATACACCCTTCTTGGACAGGTGCAAATACAGGTGATCTGCGCTGCGAAGGCGACGAAGGGCTCAATGCTAGACACCCCATCACATATTTCCTGCTCCTTACTCTACTGGGATACGTGAACACAACAATGACTTCCTACCAAACCACCCCAACCCAACCCGAAGACCCGAATTTCGGGTTGGGAGGGGGTATGGGCTCCATATGTGTTTTTTCGACGTTTCCCGACACCCCCACACTGGAAATGGATGGCAAATTGAGGCCTTCGGGTTGGGTTGGGCTGGTGTGGTAGCTGGTGAAATAATGATCTGCGCTCTCAGGCGGGCGCACCACTGGCACTCTCAGCTGACCTTTCGGGTGGCTCAGGGGAGCTCAGAGTCGGGGCATTCCTCACGCACTTCGTCCGCCAGGGACACCCTAAAGGCCGTCCGACCCCCTACGGGACGCCCAAAAGACCCCCGAGAAGCATTTGCAACGACTCGTCGAGGCAGTATCCCTAACACCCATGATTGCAAAGTCTGCGTTCAAGCTTCCTTTTGGGGGCCCGCTGTCCTTCCCTCTCTGCGGGCTCGATGCAGAATCTTGACCTCTCCCCTGGGATCCAGCATTCCGTTTGAGGGGGGGGCCGGGGGGCCCTGAGCTCGTCAACGCTTCTCCTGGGGCTTCTGGAGCCCCTGAAGGGCCCCAGGACGGCCTGGGCTCACACAGAACGCCAAAATAGCCGAAGAGAGCGTCGAGCCGGCCCAGGGTGGCCTCACCACGGTCCAAGACGGCTTGAAGGCCGCCCACGGTGCCCCGAAGAGGGCCCACAAGTGCTCCCAGTGGACCGCCGAAGGGACCCCAAGAAGAGGCAAATACCGTCCCATTCCCTTAGGAAAACCATGTCTTTAGCATAATCGCCATTTTCCTCTTGACAGCGTCCAAGACTGCCCAAGGGGCCCGACAGATCGTTCCAAGACGGCCGATGAGGTCCCTAAGAGGGCCCCAAGACGGCTCAAAAAGGCCGCAGGGGAGACGGTTCAAGAGAGCGCCAAGAGAGCCCTAAGAGGGGCTCAAGAAGGGGACGACGAAGTGTCATTTCGAGCCTTTCACCCTACGATTGCTCCAGAGCCCACCAGATGCCCCGAAGAGCCCTCCAAGAGGCCCAACCTGGGGGGTCGGCGGAATGGCGTAAGTCACTTGAAAACCAAATGACTTGACTCGGCGCCGTCCCGCCGATATCACTACCCCCCCTCCAGAGTCGGGTGGGGTGTGATGCAACCTCCCCCCAGGGCCAACGACGACGACGAACACGACGACGACCACCACCACCACCAGCACCACCACGACGACGACGCTGACAATGACGACGACGACGACCGACGACGACAACGGACGACGACGACGACGGCGACGACGCACCATGACGGCGGACGACGACGACGCACGACGACGACGCCGAGCACGACGTCGCTGACGACGGCGATGGTTCGTGTTCGTCGTGCTTCGTCATAAGCCTTGTCGAGGTCGTCGTGGACGTCGTGGACGCCGTGGTCGTCGTCGTCGTCGTGGTCGTCGTCGTGTTCGTCCTCGCCGTCGCCGTCGCCGTCGCCCTCGCCGTGGTGGTGGTGGTGGTGGTGGTGGTGGTGGTGGTGGTGGTGGTGGTGGTGGTGGTGGTGGTCGTCGTCGTCGTCGCTGGCGTCATCGCTTGCTGGCTCATACGGGGGGGTTTTGACCCCCCACCCTCCCCCCGACTTTTGGAAACGGGCATGAGTGCCAAGGACTTCTGGCGAGGTGCTGGCCCCTCAAAGCGCCCACAGGAATAAGGAGCCGAACCCTATACACCGACGCTTTTTCAAGCCCCGCATTTAAACTCGCACGGGACAGCGGCTCCTGGTGTATACGTTTTTCGTTGCTTCCTCGGGGGGGGGGGGGGGGGAAAAAGGGAAGCAAGTAGCACCACACGCACCACCTCGACGGACGTCGTCCCCGACCCTCAAAAAGTCCGGGGATTGAAGTACAGCCCGCCACTGGCAATTTACATGCTCCAGTTTCCGAAGAAGAAGCCCGTTCAAACCTTCCAATATGTTCCTACGCCGTAAGCATTCAAACACCACCTGGGATGGTGCATACGCCCCCCCTGGCCGAGGCCAGGAGGGGCTGTACACACCACCTTGGGGCCCAGGGTGGCCCTGGCCAGGCACGGTGCTGGGGCATGGATGCCTTCTGCCCTGCGGGCTGTCTGGCAAGCCTGGTGGGCGACCGTGACGTCCAGCGGCAGGTTGTCCTCGGGGAACGTCATGGTGCTCAGCAATACCTTGCCGGTGCCAGGGGGCGCTCGCTCGCCGCCGCGGCCGGGGGCCGAACGCCGGCTCCAGGGCCAATCCTGCAGTTCCAAGGACGCGTCCTCGCCCTCCGCGGAGGCCTGTAAGCCACACGCGGGCGCGGCGATCGCGAGGCACAGGGCGGCGCCAGCACGCAGCGCGCTCACGGAGGCCATCGGCCCGGATGCGTAGTATGCAGTGTCGGAAGGCCTGGTAAGGTGAGGGCCCGCTTGGCGGCGGCCCGTGGGCCTGGGCCAAGATGGCTGCGGAGAGGATGGCTGCAATATGGTCGGGGGCAGGAGCACGAGCTCCAGCGGGAGCCTGAGGAGGAGGAGGAGGAGGAGGAGGCAGGCCTTTGGTTGCCCAGGTGCCACATGAACCTGTCCACAGAAGGGTCGCAGTCCCGCAGGACCTGGCGGGTCTCTCCGGTGGTCCCGGTCGCTCCCTGTCCTTGTGCCCCAGCCGCCCACCCCGATGCTGCCACCGCGTGAACTCCCCTGCTGCGTCCCTCTCCTGCCCTCCAAACGCGCCCCCTTCTATTTCCATATATTCCTTCTTATCTTCAGGTCCTACTGGACAACCGAAAGAGCCGACAGCGACCCGATCTGGGCGGTCCCATCCGACCGGTCAAAGCCGACGCGTGCAACGCCGATGACTTCTTTCAGCAGGGACGTTGTCGCGTCGACGTTGCCAAACGCACGGCAGCAGTGTGGCGGGCGCACATCCTGCCCGACAGGGGGAACTGCCGCTCTCGCTCTGGCGCCGTGCTCCGCGTCCCGATTGTTGAGTTTCCGCCTGGGCACGGCTCACACCTTTCGCTCGCCGGGTCGTCGAAAGCGGGGCCAGCGCGCGAGCGGACGAAAATGTCGCTCTCGCCCCAGCGCCGTATACATTCTGTATGGCAGTGGCGCTCCCACCTCAGCGCAGCGCATACTTCTCGTTCGCCCAAGTCGTTGGATGGCCGCGCGCGAGCGGGCGACGTGTCGCCCCCGCCTCAGCTCCGTGCAGATTTCGCCCTGGAAGCTGCTGTGCTGCTTGGGCGCGACGCCAGTCTTCCAACTCGCATGCCGGCGACGCAGCGGGGCCGCGCCAGAGCTGGTGAAATGCTGTCCTCGCCCAAGCGCCGCGCAGCTTGTGCGTGAAAGTGGCAGTGCTGCTTCGGCGCGGTATCTGCTTCGTCTTCGCCACGCTCCTCGGAAATTTGGCCGGCCAGGAGAAGGAATGCTACACGGTGCTCTCGCCGCAGAGCCGAGACAAGTTTTCTGAAGCGGAAGTATTGCTTCCTCTCGTGCGCGGGCCGCTGCTTCGTCTCGCCAGGTCGTGGGGAGCGGGAGCGCGCGCGAGCGCCTTCCGGTCGCTAAGTGGGAACGCTCTCCAGTCTCAATATCCAGTTGTGCCACCATTGATACCTGTGGTATGGGTGGGACGGTGAGGATGGGCGGGGGGGGGGCCGCTGACCGCTGACTCACTCGACCTGGCTAGCTTGACTTCTGCTCCTAGTCCAGCTCGCCTGCTCCTACTCCGACTTCTCGCTCCTGATTGCTATAGATGCGCCCGCGCCTCTCCGTTCGGCACCCTGCACTCCACCAGGGCACGGTGCGGTTTCCTGAATCGTTGCGCTCTCTTTCAGGCGCAACGGACGCTGTCTCCGCCTGGCAGCTGCACCGTCAGGGGGGCTGCACGGCAAGCGGATGCTCACCCACGCATGCCAAGACAGACGAGCACTGGCTTCCGCGCTCGCTTCGCGTGATAACTCAGGCGGTGAAGTGGCAGGGTGGCAGGTGCACGAACCATTAGATGCCTCCTTGATGGGGTCCGAGTAGATGGGGTCGGAGGATCGCACCGCATCGCCGATGCATCAGCGATGCATCAGCGATGCATCGGCGATGCATCGGCGACGCCGCCGACGCATCGGTGACGTCGGCGTGGAGAAAAAAGGGCTCCACATCGAGCCGCATCGACGATGCATCGCCGATGCATCGGCGATGCGGTGCGATCCTCCGACCCCACCTACTCGGACCCCATCTAGGAGGCCCAGAACCATTCAGCATGCAAGCGCACACGCGCGCGGAGTCGCGACCCGCGTGCCCACAGCGCAGAGGAGGCCGCGCCTCCGCCGATGCCCCGGCCGCCATCTGCACGCCAGGCGCGTGCCGTGGCGACTCGTACGCAGCGCTCGCCTCTGACGGAGGAGGGTGGTGCTCGCACTTTGTGCACGGCAGGTTCCTGCGGCGATGGCCCGCCGGCGACGCTGGCGAAAGCGCTCAGGCTTGAATTGGAAGCAGGAAAACCGCCATAAACATAGACTTTTGGCTCTCCGCCGGATTTCTTGGATCCGCGCTGGGCCCCCCCGGGCGGCGCCTCCGGCGCCGCCCCTGGCGCGCGGGGGGCCCAGCGCAGATCCAAGAACTCCGCGCGGAGCGCCAAAAGTTTACGTATCCAGCGTTTTTTTCTTCGACGAATTCCGCATGGTAGAACGACGCAGAAGCACCAAGGGGCGCGGTAACGCCGCAGGACGCGACGGAATTCAACCTGGAACGATGGGGGCCGCAATCGGTTCAAGGTTTTGAGCGATCCGACGCGGTGTCAAAGCCCTTTTGGCGCGCGCCAGCGCCGCACGAGCTGGCCGTCATGGCAGAGCTGCAGGGTGGTGGGATCTGGTCTCCCCTCGCCCTCTCGCTCTATCTTCCCTTCCCCTCCTGCTCCAAGACGGGCATCGGACCCACACCTCCTCCTCCTCCTCCTCCTCCTCCTCCTCCTCCTCCTCCTCCTCCTCCTCCTCCTCCTCCTCCTCCTCCTCCTCCTCCTATCCTCCTCTCCTCTCTCCTCCTCCTCCCCTCCTCCTCCTCCTCCTCCTCCCCCTCCTCCTCCTCCTCCTCCTCCTCCTCCCTCCTCCTCCTCCGCCTCCTCCTCCTCCTCCTCCTCCTCTCTCCTCCTCCTCCTTCCTCCTCCTCCTCCTCTCCTCCTCCTCCTCCTTCCTCCTCTCCTCCTCCTCCTCATCCTCCTCGTCCTCCTCTTCCTCCTCCTCCTCCTCCCCCTCCTCCCCCTCCTCCCCCTCCTCCTCTCCTCCTCCTCCTCCTCCTCTCTCCTCCTTCCTCCTCCTCCTCCTCCTCCTCTCCTCCTCCTCCTCCTCCCCCTCCCCCTCCCCTCCCCCTCCCCCTCTCCATCCCCTCCGCCTCCTCCTCCTCCTCCTCCTCCTCCTTCTCCTCCTCCTCTCCTCCTCCTCCTCCTCTCCTCCTCCTCCTCCTCCTCCTCCTCCTCCTCCTCCTCCTCCTCCTCCTCCTCCTCTCCCTCCTCCTCCTCCTCCTACTCCTCCCTCCTCCCCCTCCTCCTCCTCTCCTCCTCTTCCTCCTCCTCCTCCTCCTCCTCCTCCTCCTCCTCTCCTCCTCCTCCTATCCTCCTCGACCTCCTCCCCTAGTCCTCCCGACCTCCTCCTGCCTCCTCCTCCTCCTCCTCTCCTCCTCCTCCTCCTCCTCCTCCCTCCTCCTCCTCCTCCCCCCTCTCCCTCCTCCCTCCTCCTCCTCCTCTCCCCTCTCCTCCTCCTCCTCCTCCTAATCTCCTCCTCCTCCTCCTCCTCGCTCTCTCTCTCCTCCCCCTCTGCCTCCTCCTCCTCCTCCTCCTCCTCCTCCTCCTCCTCCTCCTCCTCCTCCTCCAGAGCCGAGTCTGGTAGGGACGGAGGATGGAGACGCCAGGACTGACGGCGCGCAGGAGTGCCTGGCACGAAGGGGCTCGCCTCCCGAGGCGGCAGGGCGCCTCCTGGGAAGGAACAGCGTCTTCTGAGAGGGCCTCCGAGGGGGGCAGGGCTGCGGGCGCGAGGAATCTACACCACCACCACCACCACCACCTTCAGCCCCCTGCCCTCCTCTGCCTCTTCTACTCTTCTCCCTTTTCCCGGGTGAGGACGGGGGTGAGGGAGGCGGTGGTGGTGTATACTCTTGGCTCCAGCAAGGATGGCTTCCGAGAGGCCCCCTACCTTCTTGGGAGGCCGCCGCCCCCCCGCGCCGATACTTCTGCGCGCCGCCGAGAGTGGCGAGGGATCCAGGGGCAATCGGGTGCTGGGCGTTTGCTCTGGCCCGCGCCACCACGCCCTCCTTGCCCTGGCCAGAGGTGCCAGCCCTGCCCTGGTAGAAGAGGCACTTGTCGGTCTCCTGATGCTTGATCATGAAGATCTCGCTGGGGATCAGGCCGGCGTCCTCTTGGAACCACGCTTCTACGTATCGCGTCGTGATCGCGCCCTACTTGAGGCAGTCACGCTCTACTTGCGGCAATCACGCCCTAAATCATACGTCGGGGGGTGAGATCGAAGTGAAGCGGGAACCCGCTAACAAGAAATCGGTTTCGACTTCGTGTTCGCGTCGTGCGTGCGAGGCGAAGCTGCGTTTGTGGACGAGAGGAATGAACCCGCCGCTGCTAGGGCGAAACTGAATCCAATGAGTCTACCCGCCCGGTTGGTTGGCGGTGGCCTGGCTGGGGCTGTCCCGCCGGTGTCCCTCCGTTGCTAAGGCGAAACTGAATCAAATGATAATATCCTACCCGTTGCCCCGCGGTGGCCCGGGGGTGTCCCGCCGGTGTCCTGTCGAATCCCGTGGCGCGGTGTCCCGTCGTGTCCGGAGAGGTCCCCACGATGCCCCCGAAGCCCCCCAAAAGGCCCAAACGAGGCCCAAAAAGAGCCCCCTGGAGGCTTCAAAACTGCTTCCACTAGGCCGCCGAGAGGCCTCGACGAGATCACAACGAAAATCCAAGAGGCCTCAGACCCACAACCGAAGCATGGTGGCGGGATGAGCCGAAGGCCATTGGATCCGCCGCCCCCTTTTGCTCTAGCAAAGGGGTGCCTGGCGTGCTGGATCCTCTCGGTTTTGGTTTTGGTTCTGTTTCCAAAAGAACTCCCCCTGGGGCTCCGGCACGTCCCGCCGGCCACCCGGAAGACGCCCAATTCCCCAATTTCCTACCCAAGACGGCTCCAAAAACGGCCGTTTCGCTCAGGACATCCTCAACAAGCCACATGGGCGATTCTAACAGGCAGGGGGCGGCGGTGATTCGCCGTAGGCGTCCCTTGTCGATTCATCGCAAGGGTGCCTGGCGTGCTAGATCCTTTAGATTTTGGTTTGGGTTCTTTTTCCCCAAAAACTCCCCCTGGGACTTCGGCCCGTCCCGCTGGCCACCCGGAAAGATTGCCTGGCTTGCCCGGAGCCGGTTGCCAAGGGTTTTTCCTGCTCCAGACGGCTCCAAGACGGCCCAAGATAGACTCCAAGACGCCTCCAAGACGGCCAACATGGCCCCCAAGACGTCTAAGATGGCCCCAAAATACATCCAAGACGGCCCAAGATGCCCCCAAGACGGCCTAAGATGGCCTCAAGATGGCCCAAGACGGCCCAAGAGGCCCCGAAGAGGCCTCAAAGACAGCCCAAGAGGCCCCCAAGAGGTCCTCCAGAAGGGCCAGAAGAGGCCAAAATCATTGATTATCCTCAGGTCTTTGAAGGATTTTGGCATTTGCTTCTTTTCGGCACTTCGACGGCTCAAGACGGCCCAAGAGGCCCCCAAGATCGCCCCAAGATCGCCCACGAGGCCTCCAAGATGGCCCCATGACGGCCCAAGAGGCCCCCAAGACGGCCCCAAGAGGGCCCCCAGACGGCCTAAGAGGCCTCCAAGACGCTCAAGATGGCCTCCAAGACGGCTAAGATGGCCCCAAGATGCCTCCGACACGGCCCAAGATGCACCCGAGACGGCCCGAGATGGTCTCCAGATGGCTTCAGACGGCCCAAGAGGCCCCCCAAAGGCCTCCAAGACGGCCCAAGAGGCCTCCAAGAGGTCCTCCAGGAGGGCCAGAAGAGGCCAAAATCATTGATTATCCTCAGGTCTTTGAAGGATTTTGGCATTTGCTTCTTTTCGGCGTTCCGACGGCTCAAGACGGCCCAAGAGGCCCCCAAGACCGCCCACGAGGTCTCCAAGATGGCTCCCTGACGGCCCAAGAGGCCCCCAAGACGGCCCCAAGAGGGCCCAAGGGGCGTCCAAGACGCCCAAGATGGCCTCCAAGACGGCTACGATGGCCCCAAGATGCCTCCAACACTGCCCAAGATGCACCCAAGACGGCCTAAGATGGCCTCAAGATGGCCCAAGACGGCCCAAAAGGCCCCCAAGAGGCCTCCAAGACGGCCCAAAAGGCGTCCAGGAGGTCTTCCAGGAGGGCCCGAAGATGCCAAAATCATTGATTGTCGTTCGGTTTTTGACAGAGTTTTGCATTTCCTTCTTTTCTGCATTCAGACGGCTCAAGATGGCGCAAGAGGCCCCCCAATTCGCCCAAGAGGCCTCCAAGGTGGCCCCATGACGGCCCAAAAGACTCCCAAGGCGGCCCCAAGAGGGCCCCAAAGCGGCCCAAAGAGGCCTCCAAGACGCTCAAGATGGCCTCTAAGAACCCCCGATATGCCCCAAGAGGGCCCCAAGACGACCCAGACAGGCCCCCAAGACGGCTTCCGACGGCGTCAGACAAGCCAGGAACGCCCTAAGACGGCCAAAAAGGCCCCCAAGAAGCCCCCAAAGGCCTCCCAAAACCGTCTCTGAGGCCCCCAGGAAGCTCCCCGGAGGCCCAAGAGTGCCCCAAGAGGCGCCCTAAGAGGCCTCCTCCTCCTGCTCCTCCTCTTTTTTCCTCATCCTCCCTCTCCTCCTCTTCTTGCTCCCCCATGCGTTCCCCGAAGTCTTTCCAAACCGACTCGGGGAACAACTGGCCCGATAGCTTGGCCAAGCTCTTGCCCAGCTGTCGGCCACAGAGACGCTTTTAAAGGGGCAGGGGGCGGCGGTGATTCGCCGTAGGCGTCTTCGATCCGCCGCCCCCTGTCGATTCATCGTGCCTGGCGTGCTAGATCCTTTCAGCTTTCAGTTTTGGTTTTGGTTCTTTTTTCAAAAGAACTCCCCCTGGGGCTTCGGCCCGTCCCGCCCGCCACCCGGAAAGATTGCCCGGCTTGCCCGGAGCCAGTTGCCAAGGGTTTCTCCTGCCCCAGACGGCTCCAAGACGGCCCAAGATGGCCTCCAAGAGAAGATGCCTCCAAGACGGCCTAAGATAGCCTCAAGATGGTTCAAGAAGGCCCAGGAGACCCCCAAGAGCCCCCCAAGACGCCTCCAAGAGGTCCTCAACGAGAGCCCGAAGAGGCCCAAATCATTGGTTTTCCTAAAGTTTTTTCCCAAACAACTTGCTGAACGGGGTGCTGTTGTGATAGAAGCTAGCTCCGTCCGAAGGAACACAAAGCAAAGACGTCCTCAAAAAAATTATGGTCCGGGCCGTTTCGCCTGAGACATCCTCGCAACTCTCGTTTCTGAGTTGTCCGGGATTGGGCGTTTCGCGTGAGACATCCTCCAAACTCTGGGCTCCGAGATGCCGCGCAAGAGGTGGTCCGGCCCGTTTCGCCTGAGAAATCCTCGAAACTCTGAGCTCTCTGATGCCGCGCGAGAGGTGGTCTGGCCCGTTTCGCCTGAGACATCCTCCAAACTCTGAGCTCCCAGTTGCCGCGCGAGAGGTGGTCCGGCCCGTTTTGCTTGAGACATCCTCCAAACTCTGAGCTCTGAGATGCCGTGCGCGAGGTGGTCTGGCGCGTTTCGCCTGGCTCGCAACTCTGGGCTCCGAGATGCCGCGCAAGAGGTAGTCCGGCCCGTTTTGCTTGAGACATCCTCCAAACTCTGAGCTCTGAGATGCCGTGTGCGAGGTGGTTTGGCCCTTTCGCTTGAGACATCCTCCAAACTCTGAGCCCCAAGATGCCGCCCAAGAGGTGGTCCGGCCCGTTTCACTTGAGACATCCTCGCACTTTTGCATTCCGAGATGCCGCGCGAGGAGTGGTCTGGCCCGTTTCGTCTGAGACGTCCTCGAAACTCTGAGCTCTGAGATGCCGCGCGCGAGGTGGTCTGGCCAGTTTCGCCTGAGACATCCTCTAAACGCTAGGCTCTGAGCTGCCGCGCGAGAGGTGGTCCCGCCCGTTTCGCCGGAGACATCCTCGCAACTCTGACCTCGGAGATGCCGGGCGCGACGTGGTTCAGCCCGTTTCGCCTGAGACATCCTCGCAACTCTGAGCTCTGAGATGCCCTGCGCGAGGTGGTCCGGCCCGTCTCGCCTGAGACATCCACGCAACTCTGAGCTCTGAGATGCCGTGCGCGAGGTGGTCCGGCCCGTTACGCACAAGACATTCTCGCAACTCTGAGCTCCCAGATGCTGCGCAAGAGGTGGTCCAGCCTGGGGGCCCAGAAGACCACATGTTACATATCCCCCCTGGGACCCTGGAAGCCCCAGAAAGCCTCAGAGAGTTTCAGGAGGCCGCAGGACGCCCAAGACAGGCCCCAGGGTCCCCAGGAGATTCCCAGGAGGCTCCCAGGAGGCCCCAGAAGGCCCCCTTATCAGAACGTGTTAAGTTAATACACATCCGGTGTCGATTCGTTGATTTGTCCTGCTCTTGTGGCCCAGACGGCCACATATTAGATATCGCCCCAGGGAGCCCCAAGAGGCTTCAGGAAGCCCCAGGTGGGGTCCAGGAGGCCACAGGAGGCCCAGGAGGAAACCCCAGGAGGTCCCCAAGAGACCCCAGGAGGCCCCAGGAGGCCCCCGCAACTCGGAGCTCTGAGACGCCGCGCTCGAGGTGGTCCGGCCCGTTTCGCCTGAGACTTCCTCGCAGCACGTTTCGCCCGAGACATCGTCACAACTCTGGGGTCCGAGATGCCGCGCGCGAGGTGGTCCAGCCCGTTACGCTGGAGACATCCTCGCAACTCTGAGCTCCGAGATGCCGTTCGGGATGAAGAGGAGGTGGAGGAGTAGGAGGAGGAGAAGAAGGAGGAGGAGATGGAAGTGAGAGGGAGGAGGAGGAGGATGGTGTGGATGAGGGAGCAGGCAGGAGGAGGGGGAGGAGGAGGAGGAGGAGGAGGAGGAGGAGGAGGAGGAGGAGGAGGAGGAGGAGGAGGAGGAGGGGGAGGAAAGGAGTTGCAGGAGAGGACCTAACGGGAAGCGAGTGTGACGTGGACTTGTTAGAACGTGTGCGAGAGGTTGTCAGGCCCGTTTCTTTTGAGACATCCTTCCAATACTGAGCTCCAAGATGTCGCCAAAACTGAGCCTCTGACAGTGCCGACCCGACAGCTTCGTCGACCAGGTGCGAGAGAGTACAACACCCTCTAGCGTGAGCTTCCTGATAGGCATGCGTCACACAAGTTTTCGTGTAAACAT